TTTAGCCTCCGCAGCACAACTAGTCAAGGGAAACCTCCAACGACAGAAAAGTTTTAACATGCTCCTTACACAATTGTGTCACTAAACAGCGTCCGCGTCCTGCAACTCTCGACAAAAACAATGTAAACCCGCGACTTGGCTACTTTTCGCGCACTTTTTCGTCTTCTGTTCCAAAACCTTGATTGCACCGAGGAGCAAAAAAGAAAGAAATAAAACCCTGACGAGAGTTTTGCGCTGTACTTGCTGATTGGATCTGGCTGGCAGAATCGAAACGGTACTTTTGAAATTCTTGTCTAGCTTGGTGGTCTACCACAGGAAAGACAGGGACTATGCGGGTTAGTTTGAAATTCAACAAAAAAGAAGCGAAAATAAATCGGAAGGGAAAAAATGCCCTCAATAGTCTTGAATCTTTTAAGTATCTTAAAAAAAATTGAAAATAAATTACCACAGTGTTATTCAAAACTTCCAAAAATTAGAAGAAGAGATCAAATATTTTTAAATTTGCTGTTGATATCTACATATTGGGAATAATTTATTTAATTTTGAACGAAATTATCTTTAAACTATTTATTGATTTCATTGAAAATCAATGAATGAAAAACAAATTTGTTGAAGAATTTTTCTCAATAATATTATGACTGCAGCTCGCAGCCCAAACATTGTCAAGCAGGAATATTATTTTCTGTATATATTAATGAATGAAAAAATACTCAATATCAAAATCGAAGCAATTAAAATTTTGTTCAACAAAAATATCCATCAAATTTCAGTTTTGGTTTTAATTTTTTTTTTTGCATGACACTATAAAAATCCCTGCTCAAAAGTCAGACGCCTCTATATTTAGCACTGGATACAAAGCGTGACGTACATATTTTTTTTTGCCATGTGGACTCCCCGCCTTGCTCTCCATTGGAACGAAAAACAGCTCTAGCCTGTGCTCGCATGATGCACTTCCATTTCACATAATTTCACGTCATCGCCTAGGCTGGGAGCGTGATTCGCGCACTGCGGCGTCATTTTTTGTATATTCCGTTTGCCCAACTTCCTGTTCGCCGCCACGGCTGGCCACCCATCGGACAAACGACATTAAAGGACAAAAAGACGCAAAATTGCACCCCCCCGTAATAATATAAAAGCAGTTGAAAGAGAGAATAACTACTGCGCCTCTTTTGCTATTATTAAATGGCGATGAAAAATGCGCGCGACGCCGGAATGACAAGTCAGAGGCTGTGCCCGGCATTCTAATGTGCTTTCAATTGGAGTTAAACGGCAGTCAATGGCCTCAATGAGAGAGGGAGATGCCGCGCCGAGTCGGATATGAATAAACAAACAGATTGCCCTCGACGAAAGATGGATTTTAAATGTTTTACGAGGCTCATCCGATTTCCGGCCACTGCGTCGGAGGATCGCGTGAATCTGGCGAGTGGAACCAACAAAACTGGTTTCTAACGTTTTCTGTGCGGTTTATGTAACTCGACGGCGGTGGTTTTGTGAGAAAGTCGCCGAATTAGATATAATTACAACCACTAATTTTGCAAATTTGATGGTATTTCTTTTTGGCCTGGGAAATATTTTGCAACTATTTGACAAGCAATAAAAAAATTGGATGTTAAAGTTTAAAGTATCTCATATTTAAAATCCTGATAGGTCTTTGCAAGAGTACATTGTTTTGTTTAGAAAAAAATAAAGGACTTAATTATTAACTGTCCATATTCAATTAGAAGTAAATCGTTTGAAAACTGAAGTTCTCTATAAAAAAAGATAAATTAAAAATATTAAAATTCATCGAGACCCCTGATGCTAAGTTTTGATTAAAATTATACGAAATCATTTATTAGACGACTCAAATTAATTTAATTTAATGAAAGATGCAATAAACTTTTCTTAATTCGACCTCCAGTTTTTTTTATAATTGTTGAAAATCAAATTAATTTCTCTATTACTGTAATTTTTAAAATAAAAATAAAATTTAATTGATAAAACTCACATCTTCTGTTTCCTTTTAGTAAAAGTTTAAATTATGAAATAAACAAAATATAATATGATTAAATATTTTGAAATTGATGTTAATTAAAATCTTTTTAACCTTTGCGAGTTGCATGTAAAAATTTAATGGAGACATCAGTAATCTGATTACTTTTTTACTGAAGACGTAAAAATAAAAATAATGATCCACATGAGTCTATGCAATCGAGAGAGGCGATGATGAAACGCTGAAGGTGAAACGGAAACAGCAAGGACTCGTCATCATATTATTTGCGAAATTAGAAAACACTGCTCTTACCATCAAATCATCTTCTCTTGGCTAAATACAAATAGGTTCAAGTGGCAAATTAATCACCGGTCAGAAACTTTTCTCACGCTTCAGAACTGACAAGTGTATGTTATAGTTAATTAAAGAAGCGAACGGAAACTGACTTTGAACTGAAAAGAGTTGGTGCAATTCGGCTCCTAATAATTGGCGGTTCCGAAGCTTGCGTTCTTGGCTCAAGGTGCAATGCCCACTATCACTGACGCCTTTAATTGCACTCCGTGCATTGCCTTGAATGTAATATGCAACTTTTAAAATTGACGATTGCCCGCCCAAGTGGAAATAAACGGAATGAGTAATTGCTGCGTCTCCAGCTCTCTGAGGTAATTGGCAAAAGGAAAAAAATGGCTTGAATTTACATAAAACTTCAATTAGGTACTTTCTTCTGTGAGCTGAAGAAAAAGTGATTTTGAAAGTTAAAAAAAAAAGAATAAAATTCAACCGTCAAAAGCTTTGTCTTTAATCAAGCTACAAAAATAAATTACATGTGTCAAGTCTCAAAATGATTTTTGTTAAAAGCGTTTTTCATTCGATAACAGATCAATTAATCCAAATACTTTTTAAGAATATTATATAATGTTACAGTGAATTTCAAGCAAGTTTTTTTTTTTTAATATTTTCAGATATTTTTAAAGTAAATTTTGTTAAATTCCATCTTCACATTTAAAATTGACTCTATATAGGAAAAATCTAAACGAAATTGCGCAATTCCAAATGACATTCATTGAAAATGTCAAAAAAAAAAAAAATTAACCATTGAATTTCAAAACTGTGACGAAAACCAATTTCCAGAGAAGCCCGAAAATAACCTTGATCAATTTTTTTTTGCGATCTTTTGTCCATTAGTCCCGTTCGGAAAGGCAATCAGCTGCATGCCCTTGCGCGCCGCGTGAAAACAAAGGACAGGTGCGTGCATTCTTTTGGAGAGTGACACCCATTCCGCCTCGCTCGCGTGCACTTTCGGATAGAGAGAGACGCGATCGGCTTGGAAAGTTTTGTGCGTCTCGTCGAGAGAAGTTACATTATGATGTTCTCCTTAAAGCGCGATTGGGAAACCGACGCACGTACCTCTGTTTGTTTTCGGAAGGTTTTTAATGTGCCTGATTTGAGCACGCTGGAGGACGAAAACACAGACGCTATATTTACTTTGGTACATAATTTTGTGACACGAGCATTGTTCCCGAGGAAAGCAGAGCATCGTCGTCGGTGCCATTCTTCGAGGGCGCGTCACCATGACAACAGAAAAAGAAAGAAAAGTTGAAAAATTATTCTATTGTATGGAAGGAAGGAAGGAAGGAAGTTTTATATAAGAAAAATCTTCATCTTCCTATTCAAAAATTTCTTTTCACGTCCGGTGATGAAAAAAGTTCATGCCAAATTTTTACGTGACATTAAAAAATGAATCTAAAAATAAGTAAAAATTATTAATCAAGCTTTTTACATTAAAGAAAGATCATAAAACTTTTATCAAATTTTAATAATCATTTCATTGTTAAAGGACTTAAAAGTCTCACTAAACCTCAACTAAACAAACAACTTAAATTAACCAAGAGAGTATTTTGCTTTTATTTAATTAAATTTTGTTTTAATAAAATTAAATTTAACCAATTTTAAGACCTCTCAAAAAATTGAATTGAATTTCTCTACCGCTTCGTTGTTTATTTATTTACTTTACGAATCCCTCTGAGAAAAACAGTTGTTGCTCTTCCTGGGAAAGCCTTTCCACGTTTGGAACGTGTGATTATTTTTATTGCTGCATTAAATGCAGATAATGCGACAGGGAAGCACTTTTAATTAGCAGTAATAACTGCCTCAGGTAAAGAGTAAAAATTAATCACACATTAATCCAGGCGTGAGCGAACGCAGCAATCCCAGGAATGAAATCCTAGAACTTGTTGTTGTCGGCCGAGGCGCCATTATTTATAATTATGTGTAGATGTTATGTCGTGCTTTATTATTGAGCAAAAGTGCGGCGGATAAAATGGCATCGGTCTCGGCCGCACTCGCCAACAGATGAAAATGATAGCTGGGAAAGAATGCGTTGGGAAATTATTTTGCTCGGTGTGCCAAGTCATCCGCAAATGCGGCCGATGGTAAAGAAAACGCGCAACCGAGAATTGGAAATAGAGAAGAAAAAAACACAGAAAGATGCTCCGATGCGTTGCAAAATAATTTCAATAAATAACACTTGCACGCTCGATAATGTGTATTAGAAAAAAACGCATCAAAGCGGCGTGGAGAGGCGCGTGAAATTTTAGAAAAAAAAGAGAGAAGTGAAAATGCGCTGGTCGATGAGTGTAACGTAGCAAATCGCACTCTAGTCTGAGTGCCAATTGACCGCAAACGACGCGGAAATTCTGATGAATTTGTTACTTTCCACGTTTATTTATAAAGATCAATGCGCTTGAAAGAGAAAAGAATATTTAATATTCTCAAATTATGTTGAATATATATTAATTTCTAATAAAATTAGAATTAAAAAAAAATCGTAGAATATCTTTAAAGATGTTACAATTTATCTTGATTGTTTTTCGCTTTCGGAAAAACTATGAACTGAATCGGGAATATAAATTATTGATTGATTATTTTCAAATTTATGCACAAATTTAAAATCTTGGTGAATATTAATAAACTTTTGATACTTTTTAAATTTTCAATCGTTCCTCAACAGAGTCTGTTTTTGTTTCAGGTTCCTGACAGTGGAGGGACGACGCAACCAGCACTGGCGGGCGCCTCAGCTGCCCTCGAAGTTCGCCCTGCCCAGCCCCCGTCGACCGGGGGCGCAGCTCCCACTGCCGCCCCCGTGCCGTCAACGCCACTCTCCGCAGCTCCGTTCCAATACCTGATTCATGAGCAGGCAAAGTCGCTCGTCGCCCTGCAGGTAAGAAAACCAACAAAGTTATTGTTTAACTCTTATGATTAAAAAAAATTAAATAGATTAAAAGAAATTAAATTTTTTGTTTTAAATTTTCATTACAATTTTCTTTATTAATGGTATTAAGATACTTTTGTTTTTAAATTTTAATTTTTAATATTTTTTTTATTATTAATATTTTTTATCTTTCTGTCAAGATTAATGTGATCAATAAATTGAAATTCCATTTAAACCAAATTATTAGAACTTTTGTTTACAAATTTTTTTTTTTAATAAATTTAAGCAGAGAATAAAATTATTTTATGCGCTGGATTAAAGATTAATTGGGTTATACAATGAAAATGTTTTTATATGTGGACACATCAGAAGGGCAGTTTGGCAGAAATTTGTATTTATATTATTATTATTAAAAGTAGACTCTGAAGAACTTTCTTCTCTTCCCCAATCTGATATCCTATAATCGTAAGCTAGGCTAGGTAGCTGCGAAACGATTTCCACCATTTACGGGATGGCATCGTCCTCTTTTTTTTTGCTCGTTTTGGTCGTAAAAACGGACGGCCCTGTTCACTCGAAAGTTTTGCTCCAGAGTGAAGTAAATTGGCAATAAAAAGTTAAAAGGACGTCCATCTGCTGGAGCTGCTCTAATCCCAGGCAGCGGCCCGTGCCGAAAATTTAGTTATTTAGCCTCCGTGTTAAAAATTCACGTGTTCTCATTCTGGTCAGCGCTGAGCACCGCCGCCGTTTCCGCTGTCACGCTCTGTGCGTCCACACAGGACCTTTTTCCGCGAGCAGATTTAGTCGCCCATGACTCCATAAAACAAAATCATAACTAACTGCACTCTCACCGGCCTTTCCAAATAACACGCCGATTTCCCATCGATTTTCACGCCTTTTGAGGTGTTTTCTATTAAATTACCCGGCAGACGTTGTTTCCAGGATTAACTGAATCACTAAATTTGAAGAGAGATTTGTGCGCTTAGCTCTGTAAAAATTCATTTAAAAAATTAGAGGCAACAGGAGTTTTTTTTTTATTGAAATAATATCAATTATATTTATAAGATGATTCAATTCACAGTCAGTTTAATTGATGCAATTAATTCATCATTGACAGGAAATTGAGTGAGAAAGTTAGAGATAAAAAATAGCGTATCCGTCTGAAGACTAATTGAGAAATCGGTTAATAAATTAATACAATAATTATTTTATTTGTTAATTATTTTCATAAGCTATAAATCTTCTTACTCTATCTAAAACAAAATAAAAATAAAAATTTATTAATTAAGATGCACAATTCTTTTAAAATCAAATTGGCATTATTGCAGATATTGATAAAAATGTATGTCAGTTTTACTTTTTCTTGATGGTACAGTACTCGTCTTTTTTAAATATTGGTTTATTTAATAACAAAAGCAGTGAAAAGTTCTGGATCTTTTTTTTTTTCAGAAAAAAATTGAAGAGTCATCAAATTGGCCGTATCTATCTGTGTAACGATCAAAAATGTGCTCTCTCTCAGTGAAAAGCACCGTAATAATGTATCAAAAAACCCCGTAAAATAGTCCTATTCATCATTTGATATTTTCGGACGGAAACCTTACAAAGCCGAAGAGAATGAACAAAACACGCATGTGGCTGATTGATAGCGCGCCGCTTACGAGAGATGACTCGCTCTCTTCTCTCGCTGCCGTTCACTTCTGCGAACGGATCGTTAATAATATTATGTAATTTACCATCGCTGCAGCAGCAGAGATAAATGATTAAAAAACCTGTTGTCGAAGAAAATAGTAATATCTCTCTCGGAACCCACGCTGCAAAATAAAGGCCATTCTCGCCGGCGCTTGGTGTGTCATTATTGGGTTTTTTCTTCTTTACTGCTGCACGGCTGGCGACCGCATTTGGATGAAGAAAAATTAACTCGACTCGTTTCGTCATCGGCAAAAAACCTGCCTACTTATTGCCATACGAAATAATTTATATATCATGTGCTCACCATAGTTATCCGCCTCTGATGTCACCCTTTGAAAGGAAAGTGGCCTGTTTTTATGATATTTTTTGCAAACAAAAACTTTTAGTGGATCTTATCGTCTCGGTGCAAGAGTTAGACCGACGCATAAACACACGCGAATAATAAAAAGCGGGACATCAAACCAGCGATAACAATTCTGCCGCTTTCTGCGTTTGTCTCTGATAAATATTATTTTGTGCATTTTTGCATCACAGCGGATAGATAACGAGTCTTCGACACAGACGAGTTTTGCTTTCCTGGTTAGTTTTTCTTAATCTTCGAAGTGAAAATTTCCGTCAGAAAAAGATGTCTTCAAATCTTCTGCAATTGCTGTACTGATTAAAAGCTTAAATTTATTATCTTTCTTGGATCAAAATTAATTAATCTTTTAGTTTTAGTAAGCTAATGTTTTTTTACAACAAATTTAAAATGAGCGAATCTCTTATTATTATAAACACAATAAATACCAAATTTTAAGCAAATCAGAATCAAGTTCATAAAACCTCGTACGTTTTATTATTTTCAGGAGCTGCAGAACGAAGTGGGCGCCTTGCTCGAATTCCGCGAGCTAGTGATCGAAACATTTCCCCACCTGCGAAGCAAAATCTCGTCCGCCTCCTCGACCATGGGCAGCGAAGTGAACTTGCCAGAGGCGAGCACCTCCTCGGCCCCAGCCACCCCTTCAACCACCGCCGTGGGCCCTGGCTGGGGACCGGGCGTGCGTGTTCGACGACGCATCCCCAAAGAGCGCAACTCGCCCACCGCCGAAGACTCGTCGGCCGAGATGACCAAGTTGCCGAAAGGACCCAAAAGCTCCGAGGGCGCCTCCTGCAGCACGGTCCAGGACTCTGGATTCAGGTTCATTTTGTTAAATTTCTTCTATCCTGTTTTCTATTGATCAAATATAAATTTAAATGCAACATTAAATCATTAAAAAAAATAATAATAATAATAAATAAATTCTGAATTTTAGACTGGTTTTGAGATTTTACTTATATTGCAGATTGAGAATTGAACCACTCTTGAGTTAAATTTTTTCTTCTGAAAACTTATTTTATTTTTCAATTTAAAGACAATTTATTAGAAAAATATAAATTTTTTAATTGTTTTATTGCAGTACGGAGACGAAGGAGCATCATAGTAGTGGCGCCTCCGTGAAAGCCTCCAGCGGCGGCAGCGGAGGCGGCAACTCGGACGCTTCAATGGACGAATTGTGGAATTTGCTCGACGTGATCCAGCGCAAGGGTTCCCGTCTGCGCGACGAAGTGCATGATCTGCAGACCAAACTGCAGCACGAGGCTGTGAGGGGTGGCGGAGGCGAAGGCACCGCCGCTGCAGACTGGAGTCCTCCACCGGGGGTGCGCAGCTGGGGAGAAGAAGATGACCCCTCGGAGATGCGGAGGCTCAGGATGGAGCGCGACGTCCTTCTCGACAAGGTACTTGAACCGATTTTATTATTATTATTTTTTTTTAAATCTCCATAATTTTATTGAGAAAGAAAATTTAGTAAAAGTTTTATTCCACAGTGAGAAAAATAAATCTAAAATTAACTGAAATTTCAAGGTGACTGAAATGGAGGCAGAGACTTTGCAATCTCGGGCCCGCGTATCTCAGCTGCAGGCGGAACTGCGCCAGATCTCGTCCATCCGACGCGGCCTCGAGGACCAGTTGCTCCTGTCTGCACGCAACAGCTGCGTCTGCTCCATGTCCTCCACCTCTCCAAGGCGCATTAAGCTCGAGTCACCAAGGGCTTCTAGTCAGGTAAAGTAAAACCAAATCAATTTGAAAAAAATTATTCTTTTTTAAAAATGAAAATTCTTTACAAAACCTTCTTCAGGTTTTACAGAATACACCTTTAGAAATAAATTCAATACATATTTTTTCTCTATTTTACATAAAATATGTTAAATTTCGTGAAGATTTTTTCATTTTTTAATTACATCATATAGTTTTAAACAGCTTTATTTGAATATTTTTAATAAAAATTTTGCGTTTGATATATTCCATTAGGTGCGAGAGCGTTCTTCAGGTTTTCAGCCTGTTCGCTCCTCGAGCGGTCCGTCGCCGCGTCACGTTCGGCGCCGCTCGCGACTGGACAGTGCGTCGTCGCCCCTTGACTTTGACTCGCGCATTCCCCGCTACGTTCACCGGCCGTCGACCGGAGGCCGCACACCGTCCCCAGCGACCCCTGGCCGACCGCCCCTTGGTGCCCTCGACTGCGTCATCGGCGACCCTCAACAGGTCACGCTCAATCTACCGCCCTCCTTCAAGCCCAGCCCGCACAAGGTGGCCGCCATCCTCGGCGAGAGGAACCCCCTCGAGCTGCAGAGACATTTGCTCACTTCCGTAGTTCACAACGAGGTTAGCAAAAATTTCCATATGGCTTCGAATGTGCCCTCAATTTTAAAGTTTATTATAATTTAAAATTGTGACAGTACAATTTTATACGATTTTCTTTGTGTTTTCAGTTTTAAATGATCATTTTTTGTAGGAATTATTTAATTTTTAATATTTCTCCAGGCCTTGCAAATTGAGTTGGAAAGGGCTTCACTCAGGAAGAATGAAATCAATGGAGAACTAGAGCGGATGAAGGAGGAAAATGATGAACTGAAATTTCAGGTAAAAAATTGCATCATGAGTTTTTATTTTGCAGTATAATTTTAACCAATTTTTTATTTCCATAGTTGGAGGAGAGGAGTATAGAGCTGGAGGGGACGAGGGCCAGGGTGCGAGTTCTTGAGAGACACAACCTGTCAAAGTCCCCCTCGGTTGGCCACCACGACCCCAAGCGACATCATTTCGCAGGCACTGATGACCCTATTCTTCTGGCGATGACCAACACCTCCAGCACCGAGTCGGCGCACGACCTGACCCTTGCCTCCAACCAACCTCCAGAGCCCCCAAAGCGCCAGAACAACAAGCAGTCCACCAACAACAAAGTCACCAACAGCATGGTCAACAACAACAACAACAAAAGTAGAATTCCTCTGCAGACAGGCACTACCCCTCCGAAGGGCAGCCCTGAGAAGAAGAAAACGTCTGCCGGGTCCTTGGGCAGGGCGAGCCTGAAGAAGGTGGTCGGGGTGGGTGGTGCAAGTCTCAAGTCCAGCAGGGAGTCCCTGGCGTCCTCGACCCTGATGAGCCGCTCCAAGGACTCGTTGAACAAGCTGAGTTCGTTGCCCCGCAAGAACTCTTCTCTGCCTCGACCGAACAACTCACCGTCCCATAAGGGGGGCAAGTCGACCCCCTTGGACACCGCCACCAAGGTACGCAACTCGGCCAACAACAACAACAGAGTCGCCTCTTTCTGGGGCAGTTGGTGGAAAATTGCGTGAACAAAAAGTCAAGAGCCCTGATCAGCCCGAAGCCGCCGATTTTATTAAGACAGACGCCCACACACGCACACTAAACTAGACACAAAAATCGTCAGACTGAGTCCCAATATATTGAATCAAAATATCTAGACAGACCAACCTACCAATTTTCAACCCATCTTTATTTCAAAATGCACTCAAGTTTTGAATTTTAATATTTTTTTTTTATATTCTCAATATCTAAAATTTTTTCATTTCAGATATCTTTTTAAATTTTTAATTATTGAACTTTTTAATTAAAAATATATTGAAATATTCTTGATACATATAAAAAGGAAACTCGGTTTTAGTTCTCTTCGTCACTCTTGATTTACATTCTGATTATATCTCTTCTTCTTCACTTCATTCTGTCTTTGTCTTTCTCGAACTCCATTCCGTTAATACTGACAAAATCTGAGAAAATTAAATTAACTCACACCCTACGCCCCCTCATTTTCATCATGTGGCCCTCATTTGAATGTGTTGGAGATGGCAGCGCCCGGTGTGCCCCAAAGCTTCTGCCTGTTGATTCTCATTTTACCATTTCATTTGTAAGTGCTAATTTATTTTGTTTGTATTTTGGTGGTTGGGATTTTATAATTTAATTTTTAATAATTTAGTTTTCCATCTCATCATAATACACAAATTAATCTCGCTTTTAGTTTTGTTGGCAAAAATAACTCTCTGGCATATACGAAAATCTCAAAAGTCAAAATTTGCTGCTGATGGTGTTGGTGCTTATTGTTTATTTTTACATTAATTTTATTATTATTTATATTTCAACATCTCCCATTTCTTGTTCGATTTGCTGCTGCCCGTAAAAAACATCAAAATTTGAGAACAAATCTTTCCAAGGGGAAGCTGAGCTTTGGTTCTGTGTTTGCTTTTTAGCAGGGTGGCTTGCGCAAAGTGGCGTCACTTCTGCAGGGTCGGCGCAAAACATGCTGACGGCAACCTCGGCCTGTCTCGTCACCGCCTCCGCCGCCTCCAGTGGGCAAAATTAAGAGGGGCGGGCTGGTGCAAAACCTGCTTCCGTCCTTTGCCAGGTCGTGGGGCGCCAAGAGGGGAGACAGGCCGGCAGACAAATCTGCTAAAAATTAATAACTTTATAAACAAGGGGTAATTTACTAATTGTGCTGTGATTTGTATATGCTTTTTGCATGATGGTTTTTATGTTTTTGCACCAACACAACATAGAAAATTAACTGATTTAGTAAAGAAAAAAAAATAGAATAAAAATAAAGGCGCACACCTAACACAAAAAAGCAGCAATAATATATCCCTCTACTCTGAAAGTATAATCTAATATTTTTAGCAGCAAAATTTTGGCTTTTTATATTTTTGTGCTATAGCAGATATTAATTTTTAATACACACTTTCTTAGTTTTCACGCGGCAGGATTATTTATATTAGTGAAGATAGAATTTAAAGCCAATCACTAAAAAAATCACCTTAGCCGTCACAAGGTTTTTGTTGAAAAAAAATATAAGAAAAATTTTCTTCTCTTTCAGGAGGCCGCGAGCAGCAGCTCTTTGGGAAGTGTGCCCTTAGTCGAGGTGGCTCTTTGTCCTGCCGACTCACTTAACACGGCTCATTGCCGTCGTCGAGGGGAGGAAATGGTACCCTGGCAGGGCGCCTCGATGGCCTTTTCCTACTTTGACAGCATCAACTCAGAGCAACTGTGGCAAAGACATTCCACGGATACCAACGGAGACTCCCTTGAGCAGTATTGAAGATAAAAACAAAATCAAATTTTTGGATAATGGACAATATTGGTGCTCGTCACATATATATAAATATTGAACTTTTCCCCTCTCGTTGCATTCCATTGTGGGATAATCCCAACAGATTTTTATTTCAATCTGGAAGTCTGCAGGTTAAAAGTGAAAAAACTTATTTGTTGAATTTTTAAATAATATATATTCCAAGCGAGCTAAAAAAATGCCCAAATGTGATAGTAGTTTTAATTTAAATAAAAGGTTATTTTTATCAGTGTTCTGTCTGTCGCCTGCAGGTTTCCAGTGTGAAAATCTGAAAAACGAACCCCAATACTCTTTCAATATGCTTTTGCAAAAAACAAAAACGCATAATCCACCATGTAAATTTACTATCAAGATGTAAAACTTTGGCAGGGGTTTTCTCACTTTAGTGTACGTGTTAAAAATATATTCAGCAAATTAAAATCTCGTGCCAGCTGCGAATCAAACTCTCTGCGGTCAAACTTGGAAACATTTTTGCCAAAATATTTTTTAAGCTTGGTCGGCCCTTCCAGAGAAGTACCTTGGCTGGATTGTTCTTGACACAAATCCGGAAAAAATATACAGCTGGCTGCTACTTTTTCCAGAGAAACGGAACCCCTGCAGTGCTGCTTAAAAATGGCTTTGTGAGAGTTAAAAAAAAATGATATTTTCTGTCATTACTTCTTCCCATCATAATGTATTAATCACTGCTGCTTATTTATACGAAAATGGACACTATACTTATTTAAGGCAACTACAGAGCAGTTTCTTATATTTACAACCAGTTAGTGGGGAAAAATCGTGTCGCTATTTTCTATCGCATTTTGTGTTGTTGTTGTGGACTAGTCGAGGGCTGTTCATTTGTTCCTTTGTACTCGATTGAAACCTATGATGATTATTATTAATTAAACTACGTACTGATAAGTGAAGAATAAAAAGAGCTACGCTATATTGTTGTTATAAGTGCACTTTTAAACGCGACAGTCTTTTATTTCATGATTGCAACCAATGAGAAAAAAAAAATACATTTAACCTAGCACAGAGCAGAGAGCGAAACAGAATTGTTGAAAAGGGTTTAAAACAGCCAGTCTAATTAAATAAAATGTTTTTATCTCCACTTTAGATCCTGCTTTAGTCGTGTAGAAAATTCAAGGCCCTCTTTGAGGGTTCAAAAATTTCCACATTACTAAAAAAGAAGAACATTCCCATAAAGACTTATCATTAAATAATCCACTACGTAAATTGATCAGGAAAATTATTCTTCACTGGATTTTGTGATCACAACTCGGTTGACGACAAATTTTTCAGTCAGCAACGGCTCTGTCTTGGACGATTCCGTAGTACATTCTGGAGACGTAGACGAAGAAAAGCATAACCACCAACAGGTCATCCACGAGTCCGAGAAACCCGAGGAAGGCTTCTGGCAGCATGTCGATGGGGCACACAAGGTAGATTCCTGTGATGAGAATGCAAACCACCAACTTGGCAACAAACAATTGGCTCAGTCCGCCCATTTCTCGGAGCTCAACGAGGAGGTGCCTCAACAAAACCGGAGCGTCTCTCATCATTTGGATCAACTGGAAAATAAAAGAAAATTTATTTATTTTTTCAATCTAAAAATTCAAATGATTCCATAAAATAAATAAATTTGGCAAATAAATCAAAATGATTCATACGTAAAAAAATATTATGAGTAAACATTGAATTAAAAATGAATGATTGAATAAAATTTTTAAAACAAAATGTTGATTTAAAAGAATCATAGAGTTTTACATTTCGGCCGTGGGCGTGCTTGCTGTTGTATCTGTTGACCCTGTTGATGACCTCTCTCTGCCTGAGATGCGGGTCAGCACCAGCAGGGGAGCCATTGTTGTTTGAGAACAGGGGTAGGATCATGCGGACAGACGTCCGACAAAGTGGACATTTGAGCGGTCCGATGTGTTCTCGACGCCAAACCCTCCAGTTTTCCAAAATGCAACAACCTGCAGAGCAAGAATAATCAAGACATTTCTCTATAACAAATTTTAGGTCAAACCACAGAATTTGTGTCCACAATTTGTTTCGACAGGTAGGTCGATTTGAGTGATGCAGATGGGGCAGGTGTAGTCGGCGTAGTTGAAGGACTCTCGAGGGAATTCCTGCTGCCGTGGGCTTGGCGGCTGCATTGCGGCAACTGCAATTTTATCCAATAGAATTTAGATGATTTGATTAAAAACAAAAAAAATTGACAGACTTGATGGATTGTTGCTTCCGAAGTACTTCCGTCTGATGAGAATTGAGCAGTAAATTAAAAGGGTGATCAGAGGCAAACAGGCGACGAAGACGGCCACCTCATCTCCAACTCCAATCATGCTGTCTGATCTGGAAAGCGACAATTGGATGAAGGGTTTGTTGACAAATATAATAGACTGATGAAATTTTTCTATTTTATAGATCATAATTTTGAAAGATGAAAATCTCAGAGATGAAAATGTGAAAATTCTTACCACAGATCTCATTAATTTGAAGCTAATTGTCTTAATTTCAGACGTAAATAAAAGCGACGCTCATGCACAAATTCTTCATTGCATGTTCATGAATGTGTTTTTTCTTCTTGTTGTTTTGATTTTTCGTTGCCAGAGATTTACGCCCCCTTTTGCAATTCCAGAAAATTCGCGCAGAGGGCAGTACCGACCTGGGCGACCTGCACATGAGTAATTTTAGGCGCGCTACAGATGTTTTGGAGAAAATTTTGATCTTTGATCTGTCTGAAAATTTTTGCAAAGTAAGCAATTAAAAAGATGGCAAGCAAACAGAAAACCATCGCAGACTTTTTCAAACCCGGATCTAAGAGAATGTCTTCCGAATCAAGCGAGGTAAAAATTTTTCATTAACAAAAACATCTCCGAAAGTTCCCTGTACAATTCTCAATGCTTGTTTTGTTTTTCAGAGTCTTAAACGATTATTTTACTTATTATAAGATTTTATTTTATATTATTTATATGTTTTTTTTTGACTTGCAAAGAATATCGTGGAAGAGCCCAAGCCAAAGAAGCCCAAGTTGGACGAGGACCTAGCCAAAGACATCGAGGTTCTGTGCAAAGAGCGACCGGCCTTGCACAAGAGCATCTGCCAGACTTGGTTTTCCATTCTCAGGGCCGAGTTCGAGAAACCCTATTTCTTAAAAGTAAAAGTGTTTTAATATTAAAAAAGAAACAATTTAATTTTTAAATTTCAGCTAAGCCAATTTGTGGACGGGGAGAGAAAAAAGAACAAAGTCTTTCCTCCACCCCACAATGTCTGGTCGTGGACTTGCACCCCCTTTGACCAAACCAAGGTGGTCATTCTCGGACAGGATCCCTATCATAATGATGGACAGGCTCATGGTGAGCGATGAAATTTTATAATGTACGAGCAAAATGAAATATAATTATTAATTCTACAGGCTTGTGCTTCAGCGTTCAGGATGTTCATCCGCCTCCAAGGTAAAAATAAAAAGTCTTGATTTTTAAAGAAATTGCTAAACTTTTATTTTTACTGTTAATATCATTTAGTTTGGTCAACATTTTCAAAGAGCTGGAGAAGGATATTGACGGGTTCAAGCATCCTGGTCATGGAAATCTCAATGGATGGGCCAGGCAGGGTATGTATAAATTTAAATTTTCCCCCGTTTTTTATTGATTATCGACTGAAATTGGAAAAGGTGTCTTGCTCCTCAATACTGTACTTACTGTGAAGGCCCACAATGCCAAGTCGCACGCCAACCAGGGCTGGGAAACTTTTACAGATGCTGTGATCAAAAAGGTAATTTCATTCTTAAAACCAAAGATAATTTAATTGTTTTTGATTTTCAAATAATTTTTCTCAGATCAGTGAAAAGCTGACAGGGATTGTGTTCCTTCTGTGGGGAGCTCCTGCCATCAACAAGACCGTATTGATTGATAAGGTTGTGCAAACTATTAAAAAGTAATTTATTTTTTATTTATAATTTCTGAAATTTTAGAAAAAGCACCACATCTTGACGACTTCCCATCCGTCTCCACTTTCTGCTCATAGAGGCTTTCTCGGCAGTCGTCACTTTTCCAAGTGCAACGAACTGCTGGAAAAACAAGGCAAAACTCCTATCGACTGGAAGAGCCTTCCTGCCAACTGATCCCCAAAACTCAAAACGTCGACTAGGCTGAGTACAGACCTGCCTTTGATACTTTTTAAAAATTTTATCCTCCAAAGTCCAGGGTGATCAATCAAGAAGTAAATTTCTGGCGTTTGTTTTTTATTAAAAAAGGAAAAGTTACATGTCGGTTACAAACAATGGATTTTTTTTACGTCTAGTTCCTTTACAAAAATCACTCCGCTAACACGCAACACACTTCTTCTGCGATTACACACCAGTTTCTGCAAAATAAAAATGCTCATTTCCCTGCTAGCGGAACTACAAAAAACGTTTTGTCACTATTTCAAGAAGCACCCAAGACTTTCGGTAATAATAATAATACATCTCTTTGATCAATCATTTATTGAGCCTCTAACTTATGATTAGACGCTAATGAACTAACAAATGTCAACAGTATAGGAATGATTTTCTCTCTTTTCACTTGCTTCATATATATAATATAGTTTTTATACGCTTCTCAAATTTACAATATGTAATCTTGCAGTAGTATTAGATTCCTCTCTGTTATTTGCTAAAGATTACATAGGGACTTCATTTTATTTCTTTCCACATATTTCCTCAGGAAATGACCCAAACAAATAGTGAATGTAAAATATTCACAGGCGCTTAGCTGACGGACAAAAAGTACATGTTAGGTTTGCTTTTTTTTTAAACTTTTGTATCAATTAAGTAAGTGCACTGACCCACCAGTTATATAAATATCGTGGCGAGGACGATTTTTTTTTCTCTCCAGCAGCTCTTGAAACGTTCCTGGCCCGGGCCAGTTTAAAAGTGGCCAGCACGAATATATATAATTTTTTTATTGGTTTTAATTTTCTGCAGACGAATGAGCCCCGCGGCGGCAGCGCTTTAGCCAAAATAGGAGGAAGTTCGAGTGTGATTTATTTGTTAATACGGAATATAATTATTTTCATCAGTTTATTATTGCGGCAACTCTTGTATTACAAAGTATAAACTCTATTCTCTATAACAATTAGTCTTTTAGTTAAAATCTCTTATCCACGCCTACGGCAATACAGTTTTGCGTTTTTATTTATATAATGACATGACACACGCCACTTATTTAGTTTATGTACACAACTCCAATTTAGTTTCGTGATTTTTGCTTTGTCCATTCCCTTTATTTATCTCTCATTACCAGCTACACGTGTAAAACTATTTTCATTTTTATCGTAATTGGCTGCTTTGAATATATTTATCGCACTCCGTCTCGCAAACCGAGAGACAACAATAAACACCCTTTTAACATTATGAAATACCGTTTGAGCGATTACGACGTGGTCACACTAGAAAATCAAAATCTTTGATCTCAATTTTATCGTCAGTTTTAAGTTCTGCGGGTGTGCGGTGTTTGTGTGTTTTTTTCTCCTTGCAATATATATTTTATTTATAATTTTATCCCTCCCCCTGTAATTTTTTTTATTTATTTAAAGCTATATTTTAAATTCACAGCTATTTCTTCTGGGTTATAACATACATTTTAAAAATCACCAACCCCTCCCAGTTTAATGCACGATCGATTTCTTATTTATTTAGAGATGATCTTTTACTTGATTTAATATAAAAAAGCAAGTCCATTTTTTTCTAGTATATTCATTGAAGTACTGGTCGCTGCAGTTTTTTTTTTATAACCCCACACAGTTCAACAATGACCAGGGCTTAAAAATTCTCTGTTCGATTGTCGTGAAGATGTCTGCGAATTCTCCACCTGATATTTTTTTCTTTCAACAAAATTCGAACAGTTTCGTCAGCAACAGTTAATAATAATCCACCGAAATTGAGAAATACAGATCCTGGAAGTCCCGTAATATAATTCTCGCCAACAAACTCACCTTTTTTTACAATTTCCTCCACTAAAACTTCAAGAAATTTTAGGATTATATTAGAAAAGATTGTTCTTTGCTATTTTTTTTTCGGCGATTCTTCGCACCTCCTAGGTTTTGAAGTTCCTCTAAAGGACTGCCTAGTAAAATCTTTTTTCGTCATATATTTATAATAATATAATCCTCAACGCAGGCTAACGTGTTTTCTTAATCGAGATATGTGCGATGCGACGCCTAAAATGTGAACAATAGCAATTCCGTTGTATCAGCTAGTAGGTGCACTCAGGTACATGCAATCCGTGTGACCCTGAAGTTCCTCGGGTGGCACAAAATCCTCACCAGGCCGAACGCCAGACAACCTTTGCTTCTGCCGAACCTGAAATAAAGTTACCCGAAATTAAATCAGAGAAAAGTAATGATATCAAAATATCTCTACATTGAGCCAATGTAGAGAGATATATTCTCTAAATTGGGCATATGTAGAGAAAAATTTCAACATTGAGCCGACGCAGAGAAATATCACAACTAGTGCGTTTGACATGAGTAATTTTTGCTCCTGGGAACTCAAGTTCCAAGGATTTTCTTCCCGCTCCCTATTGCTTTCTCTATGGATAAAATTTTCCGCTCCCGGGAATTCCCAGTCCCTAAAATATTTTCCGGGACTCCTGCCATTTTTTTTAATTTTGAAAAAAATTCAATTTTTTATTGCTTGCATTTTCTTTTAAAAATTATTTTTACAGTCAGTCTTGGTTCACATATTCCATGAAAAGCACAATTAAATTACTATTTAAAGTGTTTTACAGTTTTTGACAAAACCCACCAAAACCTTGTAAAAAATCACCCTAATTTAATTGGTTTCTAGTTTCAATTCAAAATTCATTTATTCTCTTGCAATAAGTTATACTAGTTATGGAAAATGTCACTTGGTGTATAAATCAACATCAAATCAATGTAGAAATATATTTCAACATCAAATCAAATGTAGAAATATATTTCAACATCAAATCAGTGTAGAAATATATTTCAACATCAAATCAGTGTAGAAATATATTTCAACATCAAATCAATGTAGAAATATATTTCAACATCAAATCAGTGTAGAAATATATTTCAACATCAAATCAATGTAGAAATATATTTCAACATCAAATCAATGTTGAACTATAGTTATATTTATATTTCTGCATCAGCTCAATGTAAAAATATATTTCTAATTCAGCTTAATAGTTTTTCTTTATTTTAACCGTGTGCCAAACTGTACTCAAAGGTCACAGAGGTCGATGACCATTTTCAATTCTTTGATACGTTAACCCTCGAATTATATCCTTAATCAAATCAACCTACTTTCTCAACCTCCCTAAGCACTCGCAACAAATTCTTTCCCGCCAATTTGGCCAACTGTTCCTCAGTCCAGTCGCCCTGGTCCAGCAGCAGCGAAAACAACCTCGGATAAGTGCCCACATCCTCCAGACCGTGGGGAGTGCTGTGGAAAAAAGGACAATCCTTTAGCCATGGTTCACGTTCTCTCGGACACGGCGTGTTTACTAGTTGATTCCGTCAAATCCGGCTCCGAGGCCGACGTGGTCAACTCCGGCCACCGCTCTGATGTGGTTGATGTGTTCTGTGGAAAATAAACAAGGGAAAGTCGCGGGCTTGTTCTCGGTTTTGGCATGTTACCAGCGACGTTCGTGATGGAGGCAGTTTCATTGCATGTGACAAAGATAGGGTAGAAATTAACCATGACGAGCCCACCGTTCGAGGCCTGCCCGGGATTTCCGAGAATCAGAAGAGGATACATTTCATTTCGTGCAATCGAGAACAAGGAAAATATTGGGAAAAACTTTTTTATGTTCATTCACACAGGGAAACTTTGCTTCATTAACAAAAGACAAAATGCGGAAATACCAATTCAGTAATACTGCAAATTAATGAAAAGTAAATAATTTCAACTAAATTAGCACTTTCATAAATTTTTCCACCTTTGCTTCAGAGTTTTAACTAAATAAAATTTAAAATATATATGTTTCGATATTTTTGATTTAAAATTCAAACAAATTAAAAAAAAGACAAAATCTTTAAATTAATGTGAAAAATCATGCAACTCAAAGGCGTAGGAATTTCTCTACACTGGGCCGAGCGTTTTTGGAAGTTGGAATTCAGAAAAAAAATTTAATGAAGAAAAATGAAACTGGATTTTGCGTACCACAAGTTTGAGCACGTCGTCAGGCACATTCCTGGTGGAGTTGCACAGCGCCCTGGCCGAGGAGTGTGAGAAGATGAGCGGCGCCGTGGTCGTTTCGAGGGCGTCGCGCATCGTCCTGGCCGACGCGTGGCTCAGGTCGACGATCATGCCCAGCCGGTTGAGCTCCCTGACGACCGCCTTGCCGAACTCGGTGAGGCCGAGCTCCTCGCCAGCGGCGCCGGTGCCCGAGCCGTCGTCGCCGGCGCCGCTCTGCGAACACCCTGCCCAAGGGGTGTTGCAAGCGTGCGTCAGGGTCAGGTAGCGCGCGCCTAGATCGTAAAACATGCGCAGCACTGCCAGGCTGTTGCCCAGCGCGTGACCTCCCTCGACCCCGATCAGGCTAGCGATTCTCCCGGCGCGATGAGCTTGCTCGATTTCTAAAAAAGAGAATTCCTATTGATTAATTGGTCTGATTTCAATAATGAGAAAGTTTTATAAAATTTTGAATAAAAGATTAAAAATTGTTAAAGTAACTGACAAATAAAATGGAAGCTGTGAAGAATAAATGATAACAATCGATAATAATTATTTGGCTATAATGCTGTTTTTTTTACTCATTCAAGAGTCGAAATAAATCTTTTTACAAAAGATAAGACTCAATTTTTTTTCGGTTGGTTTTTCAGGTAAAAGATATTTTGTGGAAACATGTAGAGCAGGATATTGTTTTTTTTTAAACAATAATCAACTCCCAAAACCCATCGAGGAAAAGCCGACTTTAAATTCAAATCACCATCGATCGTGAAATTCTTCTACAAAAAGAGTTTTCTTTTACTTATTGGAGGTTCATAAATGTTTTCATCAAACGTGTGCTTTATCTTTTCCTGGTTATAATTTCCCCATCCCTACATCTATCGTTTTACAGAAGAGGAAAACATTTATCGGAAGGGAAAATTGAAGCGTTTTTGATTCAATTTTTTTTTACGATCAGAAACCTTTTTTTAACTATGAAAAAATTATTAATTTTACTGGTTTATTTATTAATTCGAGATTAAAAAGTAAAATAAAAACAGCAGAAAGTTGCAGTGAATTAAAAATAATTAGTTCTGCTGCCATTTTCTTTGTTTTTTAGATTAGGGAAAAGTAATTTCTTTGTAGATTTGTTTTAATAATACCGTTTCCCTCAAGGGGAAGCTCCCAAACAACCCTTATTGCTCTGCACAGTTGGCCATTCACATTTTTCAAAACCCCCTTTGTGTTGCTGAATTATGCAACGCTCGGCTGGACACAGCCGCTGTCTAGCAGATTGCCTGAGTTTCGAAACGCCAGGGGCCTAAGCAGAATATAAGGCTTTGCCCCTTTGGTGAATAATTGATTCCCGGCTGGACCCCGAGTGAAATTTTCAAAGGGAAATTCGCAATTTACGGCACACACCGCCGATAAAGTAGCAAACTTGTGACTTATTAAATCATCAGAAAAGGGCCGGGTTGGAAAAATGACGCGTGAATTATGGAGAGGTGATAAACGTGAGGGTTGCTGCTGACCTTTGGCAGTGGTGACCAGCTGGAGGAAGGAGGGATACAGATCGGCGAGCCTTTTGATCACGTCGATCTGCTCCAAGGCGAGCTGCACTGCGTCCAAATGTTGGGCACCGCAAGGGACGTACGCAGACCAAAACTGAAAATAATTACAAGCTCTGGTTAGTTCATGTTAAATGAAAATTAGTTTCAGATATTTCTTAGCGGATTTTTGTTCAAGTTATTTTTGTGCAAAAATATTTTCGTCCAACTTTGTTAACAAAAATTATAATAATTGGAAGTTAAAATCTTTGAATTTGATAGAACCGATTGCAAACAAAATTATTTTTTAACAATGAAATTCAATTAAAAAAACCATGTTTCATTGTTTAGTTTCTGGTAAAAAAGTAGCATATTATTTTAAAAATAAAAACCTAAAAGTCGAGAGAAAAATCAATAATAATTATTCTTTTTAAACAGGATGGTACTTTTGACTTCTTAAAATTCTTTAATGAACAGAGAAAAATGGGACATAACTAAATTTAATGCTTTAAGAGGATTTTGATAGGTGAAAAGGGGGTGTTAATCAGAATAAAAATATTTTCGTCTTAAAAACATAATTTTTAGTTTGTCAAAATTGTTGCAAAAGAATTGATTGATTTGATATTGAGGGAGATATTGAATTGCTGCACAAATAGGCACCACCATACTAGCAAAGATTTTGCTACAACTTGCGAGTTCATCTATTTAATCAATTGTAATTTAAAGTCATTTAAAGTGGATTCCTTAATTACTTTTTTAGTCTAATAAAATATGTACAAAACTTTTACTTTTATTAATAGATATTATAAAAAAATTAATAATAATAATAATAATTAATTAAATAAAAAACTATCAATCCATATTATATAATTTTATTTATTTAGCATGTAGCGGTTTAGAATAGTTTCTAGATCTGGAAAAACTTAACAGATTTATGAAGCTAGTAAAATAAATAAAAAAATAATTATTAAAGATTTCATAACTAAATTAATTTTTACTATCTTTATTGCACATTTGTATATTATAATTTTTTTCAGCGTGGTCGTTTTATTACAAAGCACTTTATAGACTTCCATTTTATAGGCTTTCAACATTGTGCTCACTCCCGGTTTGGGAGACGTAATGATGGAAATTGTCCCAACAGAGCAAATAATGCGACTTCTAGCTTTGATTGAAAAAAAAGCAGAAAAGTTTGCAATGCATAATGAGGAAATTTTCCGCTCACTGCTTCTCGATGGGTTTGCAACTGCGGGGCAAATAAATGTATAAAATAGAGCCGAGAGAAGAAGCACTCGCAGAAATCAATGTGCTCCGCCTGATTTACGGCGTAACAACTTTATTTGCCCGGTCGGAGCTTTTTCATTCGCCCCAATACGAGAGAAATATATAAAAATGGTTTTTTTTTATAGCTTGAATTTTGAAACTGCCCCGGTTGTATATTTCCAGTGCGCCTACAAAAAGGTCGTTGCAACCAACGGCAGTTCCGACAAGCAGGGCTATTTTATGGCTGTTTTTCGTCCGCAAAGATTAAACGTAATCGTATCAATAGTTGGGGTGTGTGTGCGGCCGTAAAAGTGCAAAAGGTGTTGAGTTTATCCACGGTCATAACTCCTTTATGTTTAAATTGGCACAATGTTTGCGCTTTGTTGCCTCCGAGTTGAAATATCTGCTGCGGCCACGAAACGATAAAAATGCAACATATTAGCAGTCAATAAAATCTGGAAAAGTGACTTTGCGACTAAAATCTTTTGAATTGGAGTTTTAATTACTAATTCCATTAAATTGTAAAAATACAAGTTTGTGATATAAATAATTTTTAGTTTGAATTTTTGCTCTTTAGAAAACGAAAATATTTAGTCACTAACATTAATACTCGTTCAGAATTAAAGCAGAAATTCTGACTTTTAGTTAAAAAATCCATGAATTTGTAATTTTTAAATTGGCAAGAGTCAAGAGGTTTTGTTTTCGTGAGAATAAAAAAAATAGCGTAGTATTCTGAAGCGATTCGCGATACTAGCCTGGTAAAAATGTGTAGTAGTTCTATTTATTTTCCATTTTCTAGATAAGTATTTGAAAAAAAAAATCATCGAGAGTAACTTTTCATAATTTAATTTGTTAAACTCAACATTTATTGCGATTAATTGGGGAAAGATGATTAAATTCATAGCTAACTTTCAATGTTAAAAATTATTGTTTTCAGGATCAATAAATTATTGAAATTGTGTTTGAATTTTGTATAATTTGCCCAGATGCCAAAGTTGCGTGTAAGAATTTTCCTATCAATATTCTAATTTGACCACCAATTTCTGATTAATTACTGTGACTGAAGTTAAAGTTTCAAAAATAAGTCGACAATAATATAATTGTTGTATGTGACAATTCACAGAAATTGAATGCATAAACAAAATGATCAAAATCAATCTCTCACCTGAGCTCCCATAAGGCCACTTCGCATGCGTGGAAGGTCGGTGTGCGACCAGTTGCTCTTTGACCACGGCGTGACGCCGCGCAGGTCGCTCGAGAAGTTGAACTCGTTGAGATTGTTGTGCAGAAACATGCGCATGTTCCACGGAAAGTCGTTGTGGCCGTCGATCAGCGGCGTCTCCTTCAGGATGCGCCGCACCATGTCCATGCGCTGCTCGCCCCCGGACGCGCCCTTCACCGAACGCATCACCAACGGCACCCCCAACCCCGCTCCGAGGGCGCAAGCGATCAGCACCGCCGTCAACAATAAGCACCAATGCCGAAATCCGCCTGAAAACACATTTCAATCAAATTTACATTCATAAGTTTAAAGAAATAAAAAAAGCGAAAGTTGAATATATGAAGTTCATCAAATTAAAAATGTTTAAAAGAAATCAAAGATAAATGAAAAAGAAGTTATTGAAGATATTCTATATTTGTTTTGCATTTATTTGGATGAGTTCATGTATGGGGCATAGTTGCCCTAATTTCGAACCCAATAAACACTTCTTGAAACTATAATAGAAAATAATATTTTGAGAATTAAACACAAAGTGGTCTTCAAGATATAAAGCTGTACTTTAGATTTTATTCTCAATTCTGATAGTTCATGCTCAGGAAAAACACTGATATAAAATGTTGATGCTTCAGACGTGACTGCTGCGCAAAGCAGATTTTATATTGTCTGTTTCAAATACGTCAATTTGCTTTAGTTTGTAAATAAAATTTTATCAGCCCAACAAAAAGTATAAAACGTCATGCAAAATCATTTTTTCTAGCAAAACTTTACCAAACGTTCTTAAAATTATGTTGAAACTGGCGTTTTTCATAATTTCCATTCAAGTAAAAATCGCATCTGCCAACCAAATATTAATTTTTTTGTGATTGTTTTAATTTTCCACCACAGCTCCTGGCAATTTCAATATCAGAAGCCTCTTCAAAATCTTCAGAGGAAGACAAATTATCAAAAATTCCTGTAAAGCCCTTGCCGACCAAGAAGGTATTAGGTATTCCTTTATGCAAAATAATATTTTTTAAACCTAATAAAATTATTGTCAAGTTCCTCCATTTCAGGATGAAGATAGTTCCGCTAAAAATTCCCCGTCGTTGATTTGGAAAGCCAATCGTAAAACTATCAAGAAAAAGAATAAAGCACAAAGAACGAACAATAAAACCTAGAAGACAAAAAAGCCTCAGCCAAATGTATAAGAAATACAGTTTAAATGTGGTTATTAAAAAAATTTGCAAAAAACTATTGCCAGATGATTTGTTGATATGTGTTTAACTATTTATTTTCTACACTTAAATCAATAAAAGAATCCTCTAAGCAATTTTTGAGCAAATACAATATCTGTTTTCCTTATTTACTTTTTTTTTGCCACTTTAAAAAAATTTTTCAGCGAGTGAAGTTTCTAAAACAAGGGCGAAGATCTATATGTTTTAGTTTTGTAATAAAATTCACTGATTCAAGTCAAAACTTCATAATAATCACAATTGAAAAATTTCACAATCTTAACTCTTGATAAAATCTGGAAAAAGAAGTCTTTTCCAAAATTCTATTAAAATTTTAAAATACATGAAAATACATGTGACTGAATGAAATCTTTGATCATAAATACATTCAAAATTAGTTTATAAAATTCTTGTTATAAGGCTTACTTACTTTCATAAAGCGCTTTGTCAAAAATACTTTCTTTGCAATGTTTTTCTTTCATGCATGAAGTGAAAATTTCTGAATAATTCAAACTGTTTGAATATTTATTAAATAAATTAGAGATGGAATTGCTCAATATTTTCACCATCAGTGCATTTTAAAATAAAAATTCTGGAAAATTCCATGCAGGAAATCACGTAGCTCTCACAGTTTTAAAAGCGGTAAAAATTCTCATAAATTTCTGCTGTCATCAATATATTTTCATTCATGCGCCAAGGACACCAGCTGCAGTTCTTGCAACACATACAACGTGTAATTAACCATTGGTACTGACGCACTGTCCTGGAAAATGACCATATTCCGTACTTGCGATCTGATGTAAAATACTGATAAGAGCGTCCTGTCTCTTTCGAAACCATTTGCAATTGCTGATATTTCGCAAACTTGGTACGTCAATACCCCTCGGCCCTCAAGTATAAAAGGACCCCGCCGATCAGGTAGTCATATCCTGTAACAAACCAGCCGCTCTCTCAACATGTTGAAACTGTTGGTGCTCATCTTTGCTATCCAGGTATAAAATTCATCACTTGCTTTATAATTTTTGTAACATTTTTATCACCAAAGCTGGTGCTTTCTGCGCCAGCCAATGACGACTCGAAAAAATTGTCCAAGAACCGTAAAGGTTATTTTTCATTATTATGAAGTTCAATTTTTAAACTGAAATCCAATGTCAAGAACTGGCCGCTTTAGCCGCTACCACCAGAGCTCCAAAGACAACTACCACCAAAACTCCCAAGACAACTACAACCAAAACGCCAAAGACAACCACGACTAAAACTCCAAAGACGACCACCACCAAAACTCCAAAGACCACAACCACTAAAACCGCTAAAACCACCACCGCAGCCGCAACGACTACCACCGCAGCCGCAACAACTACCACCGCAGCCGCAACTACTACCACCGCAGCCGACACAACTACTGCAGCCGACACTACCACGGCAGCCGACACTACCACCGCAGCCCCAACAACAGTTTAAATCAGGAACCACAAAAAAATCATCAAATTTATAGACGCAAATTCCTTAAAACGCAACCAATATTAGAAAATGATTAAAAATATATTATTATAATCAAAATAAATACGTACTAATGCAATATATATTTCAATGTTTTCATTTACTGCATAACAAAAAATAAACAACCAGCTAAAATTATGGTTGATAACTTGAGACATTCCCCCCAATTTTAAATTTAATTATTATTATTATTGTGGTTTATTCTACTCAAGTCATACATGGAAAATTGTTCACTTCATTATGAATTCTGTCGGTTTTATGAACTGTACGCTTTGAATTTAACTTCGAAAGTAACTTGTAAAAAAGACAATTTCATTAACATGCGTCCTATTACATTGAAGACATTAAAAATTTGGCAAAAGTAAATAAGCCTTTAAGATATACGTTTATACATATTTAATTTAGATTTTGGTGAAATAATATTCCAACAGCAAATAAATAAAATCTCTTTCCAAGTTTCTCCAGCTTTTCAAGTATAGTTTCATTTTAGTTTCAAAAGCGCAGATTGTGAGCTTAAAAGTTTTGGGGCCATAATGTAACCGCGTCTTCTCTGTAATAAGAAACCCGCAAGTTATGCGCCCTCCCAGAGGGTGTTGGATAACAAACAGAATGGAGAATGAAGAGGAATGGCAGGCATTTGAAAAAGGCAATTAGTCGCTGTTGAGGCCGGCCGAGGCAAAACAAGTGCACAAAGCACACCCATATTTGTCCTTTTGAGAGAGTCATTTGACCATCCTAGAGCAAGAGCTCAAAGAACGGCCTCAGCATTGTTTGCTTTCTAATTGCATTCTTTCTATCTCTGCCACCAAGACTTTAATCTTTGCAGCCAGCCAGACAAAATGTCTGGTTTGTTTGTTACTTTGTAGGAATAGCTTTTTTGACTCATATTTATTAAGAAAAAAAAATCAAATTAAGAGAAAATATAAAATAGGAAAATATAATAAAGATGAAATTTAATTAAAAATGGTTAATATAAAAAGATTTGCCTGAAAAAATTAATAATTAAAATTTACTCACACCAAGTTTTTGAATCTGATTTGCTACTCGTTGAACTAAAAGATTCCCTAACGTTGAGAGGGCCCAAACTGGCAATTGTGCCGAAACTGGCTTGAGCACTCGAAGGAAGCAGCATTTCGCGGACCGGCACCGCCCGGCCATTGCAGCGTGACGGGGGCGGCAAAGGAGGCAGCAGCTCATTAGCAGGGCAATTGTGATGGTGCGGGTGGTGCTCCTCCAGGGGGGCCACGTCTGGCAGGCACCCTACCGGCTGCAACAAAAAATTAGCCAAGTTAATTAGCAACTTCAACTAACTTTACCGAGTAAATAAAATTCCATTTTTGCAGTCAACTTTTCAAAATTTGTTTTTCTTCATTAGTTTTTTTTTATTTTATTTTTCAAAAATTGAAGTATTGCGTAGATAAAATTTTCAAACTTTGATCAAATTTATCTTAAATTTATAGGGATAAAGTCTATTGATAAAAAATCTACAGTTAAAAATTATACGTCGTTCTTGGCTGAAAATATAAAAACGTAGAAAGTTTTTAAGTCCTCACTATAAAATAAATTTAAATTTGATTTTTTTTATACATTTAGGCAGTAATTATTACAGAAAGTTGGCAAATAAACTTTTATTTAACGAATCATAGGCAATCAAATTTAAAAACATTGTGTTTAAATTTTTTATCCCCTCACTGAAGTTTCATCAATTTAAGGACTCGCTATTTATTTTCGGCTCACTGAGAGGCAGCCTATTTTCCTTAACTAAGTGACAGCCGCTAGCGAGGATCTGTCTCTGCTCGCGGAATTCATTTCACTTATAGATTAACGAGGCGCGGCCAAGTGACGAAATGGAGCGAGCAAATGAATAATTCAGCCCAAAGCTGGTGACAAAGCAAATTGAATGCAGTCGGGCTGCTGCTGTGCTGGCGTCGTTTTGAATTCCGCGAACGTGCCTTTTAACGTCACTTTCAGAAGAGTCGGTCGGAAGAGTGCAGAATGCATAACATACAAGCACACAAAACTCTCTCCTTTCGATTTTATTATTATTTGCTCGGGTGGAAGCAAAAATTTACAAGAATCATAAAAGTGCAAATAATGGCAGAGTGATGCACTGCAGCATCTTGACCTAGAACTTCGGCCTGAAGTGTACTTTAAACAAAAGAAAAAATGTGACAAAATTCGAATAATTTTTTAATGAAATTAATATTATTTTCACCATCAATTTGTTTTTAACCAATTTATTTAACAAAATCAATTGAATATTTTGAAATAAAAATATTAAAATTCTTCTTCCATACGTTTTCAATAAAAATTAAAAGTTTCAACTAATTTCAATAATATTATATTATTAAAACTTTAAAAACATTAGTTTAAAAAATTGAATTTTCAGAAATAATTTTGTGATTTTTTTTATAAAAAATTAAAAATTTCACTCTCATGATTATTTCATATGAGAAATATTAGTAAAGATTGTAAAGCAAATATCTTTCACAATGTATGTTTTCACTCTTTTAGCACCCCAAGAACGTTGGCGGCAGAAAAGAGCGTCTTTTTTTTTATTCTACAAAAAAAAACCCGCTCACGCATGGTTTGTGGCATGTATTTTTTATCCGAGTCGTATCCGCGGAAAGCCACGGTGGAATTAGCGAGATTGCACTCTGAGAGTTGGCTGAAAAATTCACGAGGGCAGAAAGAGGAAAAGGGCGGGCGGAGGATTTGCTCTATCGCGGTTCAAGTTGGGTTGATGAATTTTGCATGCTCGCATGAATAACTACCCCGGTGCTGCGACGAAACGAAACAAAGGAAAACGCAAGTTTTTCATTCCGAATTGAATTTGCGCTCTCGAGACATTATTGCTTTTTGTATTCGGCCCGACAAGCAGCAGAGCAGCCTAAGCCAATATTTAGTCACGCTTGAGAGACGACGATTGCGTTTGTTCGCCATGTCTACTCAAATACCATGTTTTGTTAGGACATCTATCAATAAAATTTTAATTAGGGCTATAAAAAAAGGAATGGCATTTGATTTTTTTCAGCTTTTTACATATTAAAATTTTGAATATGAATTTGTTTCACTTTAATGTGTGGTTAAAATTGTTGTCTTCTTATAATCTTGATAACATTTAATTTTATTAGCTAAAATTAAAAAAAAAAACTAATGGAAATCAGATCGTTCGTATTTATAACTTCCTCATTTATACCGTTTCTATGCAGCAATAAGAAATATTTATAAATTTATTTATTTGTTGATGTTTTTGGAGAATTTTGCATAAAAATGATGCAAAAAGGAAATAATCATTAAACGTGGCAAGGACAAACTACTCGGTTTTGTATTGCGCCGTAAAACCAGTTTACGTCCCGGGAAATAAAACCGGCGAGATATTATGGAAAATAAAAAAAATTCCTCCAGTCACGCACGCATTTCTGGATTTTAATCCGGCGTCGAATGCGGATATTCCAATTAAATCATAAAATCAATGGCCCCTCCCTGTCAGCATGAAAGATTCAGTGCTGCAAATTTTATATCGACGCTCGTGTGCTGCGGCTTAGCGCAAAAAGCCGTAAATCCTCAGTCGTGGGCAAAAACAACAAACACCGGCGGGCGTCGTTCGTGTTTAATAAATAATGTCGCACGCAGCCGAGGTGGAAACCTCCCTCTCAGCTCTGTGTACGAAAAACGAATCTTTTTCTGCCCCAGAGTTTTCTCTCATTTTTATTTTTATCTCGGAGAGCGACGGGAAATTAGCACGGGAGTGATAAAAATTGACGGTCCGCCCAGGAAATTATCAGGAAGCGACCGGCTGCCTCATTTCTGTTTCTCCGTCTGCGATGTTTAATTCAGTGCCTTAGTCGAAATTGGCAGCAATCGCCTTCCAGCCTCCGGATTTCCATCAACTGGAAGTGAAAAGTGGATATAAAATCACGATGAAATGTAATTTGAGCTAGAAAGAGATACGGCGAATTGGAAGAAATGACACTTCGATGTTTTATGCATAAAGAGATAATTTCTGATTGCTTCGAAAGAAGTATGCTTGACAATGTTCACGAATATTAAATTAATAACCACTGTTTGATAAAATTATAAAATGTTTATTTTAAAAATTTTCTTTTTTTAAAATTGTTTTTCAATTTTGTATTATTTTAATTATCATCTGATTTTTTCAATGATATTCATAAATTTTAAATCCAATTTAATAATATTCATATTTTGATTTAAACTGAATTCTAAGGTTTAATTAAATTTCTTTTGATGATGATAAACTTCCACAAACTTTACGATCGTCTGAAATTGTTTGCTTGTGGCATAGAGGCGATATTATGTTTAAACTGATATTATGAGCCGCAAATTGAGTCGCTCGAGGTACTTGATTGTTTAAAGCAGCATTCTCCAAATATGTGTGTACTCTGCTGAATGAACAAGTAGATATTGAAATGGTATCGCGCACATTGCAAACGCAGCTGAACAAACACAAAGTATGCCACAGTGGTCTATCATTAGACTGTTTCCTGGGGCTTTTAAATCTGTAGAAACAGCCAAAATTGTTAAACAGTTGAATGACGGGCTACAAAAAAATTATCAAGTTTTGCAATTTCAAAGTGAAAGTACAAAGAAGATTAATTAAATTGTCTATTGGATTTTTTTTTAAATGAAGTTCTCAATTTCAAGCACGTGTATGACTGATTTATAAAAATTGTGCTACATTTTTAAAGCAGAATCTTCGGAAATCGATTAAACTTGAAATCTGTTAAAACATTGATGGAGTTATTATTGTTATTAAATATATCCAACTTTTAAAACATGCCGATGACAGGGAAATTATAGAATGTCATTTTTTTACAATAATAATTATAAAAATATTTTTACAAAAATCTATTAGAATATTAAAAGGATCCCTGAAACGTTCAAATTGATTATTATTTCAAATTAGCAAGAATAAAATAAATCTTTAATTCAAGAATAATTGTCTTTCTTTGTTCCTGCTCTTAAAAACAGCTGAAAACATAAAGCAAAACCCAAAAGAGGCTCTACTTAAACCCCTTCTCTTTTAAACAAACAAAATGCGTCCCTAAGGATATACCCAGAGTTTCCACCGTTCACAGTTTTTTTTAGGGCTTTTCTTGGTAAAGCTGCCTTGAAACAATATTCGCATTGTTTCGCACTCTTTATAGAACCGAGGTGGGAATTTTGAGAGCCCTTGGACCATCAATTAACGCGAGAGGCAAACAAGCATCTCGTCGTGTTGCGGATTACTTCACTCGCATGCCCGTCGGCGTGTTTATTCAGCGCGAATAATGACTTATAAATCGTGCCGAGGGCTGAATAATTGCCTCACTCACTCTCGCTCGAAGCAAACTCGCGCTCATGTGTGGCAAGCGTGCCGGCGAGACACGGTCCCAATTATTCCGTCGTTAAATTTGCACGATTGTCGTGTCGCGTTACGCGTTATTACAATTACGGCAGCTCTGGTCGACTGAAAAATAAATAGCAGTGGGCTCAATTTCCATGTTCATACTTTGAAGGTCAAATGTCAAGCGCCGGGGTGAAAAATATTTGACGCTTGAAATGTGCTTTGGAGACGGATTGGCGCAGCGCCGACCGAATTTTGACAGTTCATCAATCACGATATTATTCACACGTGCATTATCCATCGATGCAGAGTCACGTGAATGTTTTGCCTTTTTAATGAGGCCAAGTCCATTATTACGGGTCAAATTATTCCCATTTTTTTTACATGAAAACTTGCCAAAACAAAAGGCTTATGGATATTTTTATCAATTTTTTTGTAGTTAAATAGAACGGAACGCAAAATATAAGTTTCTAAATTAAGTTTTAATAAGATAACTTTGAGTTATTTTTATTGTAATTTTTTTTCTCACAAGAACAATGAACATTTTTAGTCCTAACTTGAAATAATTCTCAAATTTTTTGTTTTGATTTACATTTTTATATTTCTTGATTAACAATTAAATAGCAAAAATAGTTTTAACTGTACTTAAATTAAAATGGAAAATGGTAAAATTGTAGCTTTAGTGAATTTTTTTTCTAAGTAAAATTAATATGAGAAATTAAATGAATAATAAAGTCGAAATTTAAGTTCACAAAGCAATACAACAAAATAATCAGCTAAATATTAAAACAGTCAAAACTAAACAATTTATGAGAACAAATTATACATACCTTGTTTTTAACTTTCTAAAAACATTATCCACTTTGAAAATTTCAGCACATTTATCAAAGTTTGGTGAACAAGACTTTCATCTAAATAAT